CAACAACGAGCGAGCGACAACAACAACAATAAATCGAGACTCTCTACTTTCTCTATTCTTTTTTAGTCATCGGAACGAACGACAGAGTGTTTGTGAAGAGAAAAGAGACAGAGACAGACAGTTAGAACGACGTAGAAGAGAGAAAGAGCAGATGCAATAGTGATGGTGTATTGGCTGAAGATAGCAATGGTCTTTCCGTTCGGTTGGCTTGCATGCATACAACTAGGAAACTCTAGTTATTTTCTAACTATAACGATTTTTGGAAGGATGCAGAACGCAATAGAATGAGAGGAGACATTCAACTTCACATCGGCAAAGGCAATCACCCTAATGGATTTTCTCGCTTCAGCTCACTAGATCTTCATACAAACATACATTCACAGTTTTAAGTTAACAAATTCATTCACCGATTGAACGAACAATAATTATTCGTATTTAGAATGACAGCAATCTGATTTAAAATAATTATTTATTCATCTATTGACTGATGTTTAGTAATATACAAAAGAATTCATATATATATATTTTTTTTTTGCAATTTTACATTTTATAAACTATATTAATAAGTTATATATTTTTATTTAATAAAAAAAAATAAGTAAATAAAATATAATTTTGTTTTTCTCGCTTTGTTTTTCATTGTTTTGTTTTTCTTTTTCTAATTATATAATAAGAATTCGAAATAATAGTGTCAAAAGAAAAACTTCGTCATATGCAAAAATTAGTATCATTATTACTATTAAATATGCTTGTATATATGTGTTATCTGGACTGTTTCTTCTTCTCTGGAGACTTATTATTCTTGTTGTTGGGCAAAGTAAATGACTTTTTTTTTTCTTTTTTTTTCTCTATGGCATAATAAACATGTTTTTTCCTGGTATCTGTAAACATGCAGTGATAGAGTGTGTATGTGCATTTATCTACCTGTTATCATCTTTTGAATATGAAAGTTTCATTTGAATTGTTTTTTTTTGAATGAAAATAAAAGAAAAAATAAAAAGAAATTTTTCTTTTTTCAAATATTTTATGACGATTTTAGTAAGATTATAAACGAATATATCAATCGTATTTTTCATTATTATCAATATAAAAACGTTTTATTGATAAGAAAGAGAAGGGACAAATTCGAGTACAAGATTTCTTGTTTTTTTGTTTTTCTTATATAATGTAGAACATAGCTTTTAAGTGAAAAAAAAAAAACTTCTATACGTATTATTACTTTCTATTAGCCAGCGATGGCATGATAAATTTCCTAATATGGATATCATTTACCTGCTTTTGTTATTGACTGTGACATTACTACTACTCCTATTATTAGCACCACCAGTAATTTTTCGTCTCAATATAATCTGTCCAAGACGAGTTAGTAAAGGTGGATTTGTAGATGAAGATATAGTAGGAGTTGTCGTGATATCCTCAATAGTTGTCGAACTTTGTCGACGACTATGATTTGATGAAATACATGAAGTACAAGCTGAAGCCATTCCTCCGCGTCGACGAGGGTTTTTTATTGATTTTGTTGATGTTGGATTTGTTATTGATGATGGTATTATAGTTGATTTTGTATTTGTTTTTCGATAATTTCGTATAAGAGTTTTTGAAGGACGATGTGATGAAACACTTGGTGTCGAACTTTTTCGACGTGTAGAATTGGTCGTTGAAGTTTGTTCGACCGTTTTTTTTTGAGAAGAATTTCTTCTCTCGCCGCAACATTGAAATGAAAAAGCACGAATATTTATTGAGGAAAAAGAAATAAAGGATCGTGGTGTTGATGATATAGGTTTTTTTTCTTGTTGAGCAAGAAATGGTCGAATAGTAGAAACTAATATTTCCGACGACGATGACGATCGTGTGATCGCAATGACCGGCGGTGGGGATTTATTGGTGCTACTCGTGATTGACTTCTATGTAAATGATGACAACGACAACAATGAAGAACCGAGAATTGGCATACACACGAGAGCGACTTTATTTATTGTTGACGAACTACATACATACATACATACGAACGGGGGTGTTTCTTTCTTTTTTCACTCTCTGTCGCTATTACTGCTGTTGCCGCTGTAGTGGCTTCTATGGCCTGCTGCTGATGATGATGATGATGCGAGAAACGGAGAACAACGACGATGCTCCTGGTGGCCGTGGTACCCGATGCAACGTCACAATAAATCGTGCGACAAAAAAACAGAACGGGCAAACACGACAACGCAAACGTACGTACTACTGTCTTCTTTTCCTTTTTATTCGACCGTTAGGTTTTTTTTCTCTTGCTTTTTCTTTTCTTTTCCTTTTCTTGTCTTTATTTTTTTCTCTATTACGTTTCAATGAAGTATCGGTGTTGATAGCAAAAAAAAAAAAAAAAAAGAAGACGTGTGTATGCATGTGTATAACGGTGAGAACAAACGAACGAATATCAACAACGATTTTTACATTCTCGTTTGCTTATTATTACAACAGTTTCTATCAATACTGTTCTAGCGGCCATAACTATCGAACCGATTATGATAAGACAAAGATAGCAACATGTCAGAGATGTCGTCATTGCTCTTAGCGTACTAAGTTACAGTGACATACAAGCAAAAGAAAAATCTTCTGGCTCTATTTGCTACTTAAAAGGTCTTTTTTTTTTCTCTTTATCTTATGATACATATGTATATGTATATACAAGCCAAAGTGTCAATCAGAATGGTATAGCGAAAATGAGTTTTACTTGTCTGCTTTCTAATGATCAAATACCAAAAGCTATAGTAAATGATGAAATAGAAAATAACTTTTGTCACCTGACATTCTCTAAGACAAAACACAAAAATCGTTTTTCATTTTTTTTGTTTCATTTTTTATTTGTCAAATATTTTCTGACAATTACTTGATTAACGTGTTGAAAATAATTAGTTATCTAAATAGGCTAATAAATAATCGTTAAAACTAATAGTATATTTACATTGAAAAAAAAGAAAAAAAAAAAAAAAGAAAACAAATATTTTCATATCTTTTGACAATTTATACAATGAGACATGTCGTCTTGTAAATAAATAATTGGCTTGAAACATTTTTTTTTTCTGGAGTAGAAACATAAATGATGATGATGATGTAGACAAAAGTAACAACAAAACAAAAAAAAAAAACGATTTATATTTCTTTCAACATTTGGTAATCTAACATTATCATTTGTATATAAAAACAACTGAGTTGTATTTTTTTTTTTTGTTTTATTTTGATCAATGATCGAATGTATTTATGAATGAAATGATTAAGTTTTGTAGTATATACTTGAAAACAGTCAATATTTAACTAAAGAAAATTGCTTGACTTTCCGGTAAAGGACAAAACAAAAGTACTGAAATAAATTGACATAACAAAAAAATATAAAAGAAAAGAAAATTAGTTCAAAAAAACAGAAATACAGTTTTTAATCAAATCATTTGATTCTATAAGAAAAAAAGTAGGAGAGATTACAATAGGTTTATAATATACAAATAAAAGTATTTCTATTTTATTTATGTATATAAATAATTAACTTAAAATAAATCTACAATTATATATGTTAAATAATATTTCATGATGAAAATCTTAATGTCATTTGAAATTTTGTTTTATTTAATTACAAATGTAATAAACAATATAAAACTTTTTCATTTTGAAATACATCATTTAAAGATACAGTTAATTCGGTCGTTTTATCTTTCTGTTATTTTCTCATGTAATAAATCATAATTTTAAATTCTTAATCGCTTTTGATTGACAACTATTAATATGCACAATAATACATCAACAAAAACAGGTAAAAAAAAGGAAAAATTCAACGAAACAAAAACAACATCCGAATCGATGACGTTTTATTATTTAAAAATTTATCTCTAATATTTCTTCTTTTGTTTTTACCGACACCATTATATATTATTATTATTCATATTTATAATAAATATTACATAAGCATTATGGTACTTCCTATATTTGTATATATTCATCAAAAAAAAAAAAAAAGTTGGTTTATTTTGGTAGATTTTAAGACGTAATTCAAATTGCAAAAAATGATATAGAAGAAGAAAAAAAAACACATAACTTCGAATAAAAAATAAATAAATATATTTTTATTTTTAAATACTTATAAAATAGAATTATTAATAAAAATATATTAAGCTTATACAACATAGGTAATATGTTAAAATTTTCATTGTAATATTTTTTCATTCTATTACAAAATTACGACTATTTTATAATTCAAACAATTCTATTCCTATTCTAAAATTTATTTCCATAGAAAAAATAATAAATCTTTTTTTTTTCTATTTAAATTAAATCCTAATTTTTAAGAATGTCAAACATGTTGACATCTTCTTTTATCTTGTGTTTAATTTAAAAATAAAGAAGCTCATCTAGTCATTTATATGTAACATAGAAAGAAAAAAGCATCGAGCTTGTATTCTCTAATCGATTTTTTTTTAATCAATATTCAATGAATAGATAATAGTCATGCAATGTAAAAACAAATTATCTATGAAGTTACTATTTGTTGTTTTACTCGTCTTAACAAGAACAAAAAACAAGCAAAAAAAAAAAACAAGTCAACAAAACCTAGTTCTTAATAAATAAATAAATAAGTTTGCTCACTTAACACGTTTACCACTCTGTGCAGGTCCAATCGAATGACGTCGTTCATTTAAAGGTATACCAAGAGAATGTCGATAAAAATTCATGATTAATATTTAAAACGTAGATTTATGTGTAAAATTACAAAAACAAATAAAATTCTGTTTTGTAACTTTTTCAAATATGAACATATAAACACAAATGCTAAAGGCAAATGACGGAAGGAAAGTGCTAATAAGACATAAATGAAAGCACACACACACACACACACACACACACACACACGCAAAGTATATTCATAGTCTTAGTATTTGCCGTTTTGTTTTTGTTTCTCACTCTATTTCTCTCTCTATTCTCTTTTTTCTCATTATATTATTTAACATCAACATTATAATAACGAATGAAAGTTCTCACCGTGTAATTTCAACATTTGCTACATTTATATATGGATTAATATTAGAATTTCGTGCTGATATATGTGAAACAATATTTGCCCATGAATGTCGACGTTCAGGATTAAATGATGGAACAATAAGAAAATGACGATTAGTTAATGATGATGATGGTGGTGGTGGCGTTGAATCTTGATCGATATTTTCACTTCGCGACATACAGATAATATTTAACTATGATCTGCTTTTCTTTCTTTTTTTTTTCTTTTTTTGCTTATCACTGATAATAAACGTTAATCGTTTTGGAATAATAATAATAATAATAAAACACGTGCAATACTATGCAGACAGTTGAAGATTATTTATGTGTCTTGTGAATACAAAATAGAATTGTTGAGTTAGGATTAATTCTAACGACTATTTTGATAAAATGATAAGAGAAAACAAAAGTAGTGTTCGTTTCGTTGAAAAGACGCGAAAACCGGCGCACTGAGAGAGAGAGAGAGAGAGAGAGAGAGACAAAGAGGGAGGGAGGGGGAAAGAACTTCCTAGTACTAGATTTAGTCGAGCGAACGGATGTTATATTAATTTATATGGGCGAGAGATGGTCTCTCACGCGTTTTCTCGTTCTTTTAGGATGCCGTTTTTGTATGTTCGATGACAATATTACGATAATAAAAAAGAAAAAACAATTGGATGATGACTTGATGAAAATCTTTCCACATCTGTTGACTGTTGTAGTTAATAAATGATTTTTTTTTTCTAGAAATTGGAATACCATCTATTGAAAATCATCATGATTATATATTTGAAAAAGAATTGATCACGGCAAATCGTATGAAGTACAATAATAGAATTTTAGTCGAAAATCAAAACTAAAAAATATTTCCATCATCTACTGTGCGAAGAATTAAATACTTAATCGAGTTTTTCTGCCGACATTTCCTGCGTACATACATATATATATATTTATATCTATGTGTCTTGGTTTTCTTTTTTTTCTTTTTCTTACTCGTTTTTTTTCTCAATTTATCTTATCATTGACCCTACTACTGTCGATCATGTGTGATTTTTCTAGTCGAACAAGTTTTGATTATTATCTAGGGTTATCCGTGCATATTCTTGATTACTACTATTACAATTTATCTTAATGGTACTTATATTCTATTAAGAAGACAGAAAGAGAGAAAGTAATCTTTCTTTTTTTTTCTCCTTCTCTCTTCTCATTATCAATAGTTAGTTTTTTTGTCTATTTAACATTATCGTCTTAAACATGAGTAAAATTGTTAATAGTCTTCGACGTATAAATGTCCTTGTAACTTCTATTATTTTGTTCTAAGATCATTAGTATTATACTAAAAAAGAAAGAAAACGAATAGAAAACACAAAATTCAATTCATAATGAAAGATGAGAAACATCAAGATGATGATTATTTCCGACATAACATAAAAAAAGAAATACTAAATAAAATTTAACAAATGATAGCAATTTGTCATTCGACAGTTATTTAATTTGAACATAAATAAAATCTAACATAGCAATAATAGATTTTTCTACTACTATTATTAACGTTTCAGTTCGATGTACATAAAAAAAATGTAATGCCTTTGACTTCTTTTTCTTTTACTTATTTTATTGGCCTTTGTAGATGACAAAAAGCGGAAATTCATTGGAATTAACTTGCGGAAGAAAAGACTTCAAGGTGTTCATTAAAAATATCCTATTTTTAGATGACGTTTCAATGTCTTTATCCTTTCCATACATGTCATATCATTTTATCTCTAGTACAAAAGTTAGTTCCTTATTCATCTACATACAGATGCGAAATAATATATATATTCTTTAATAATTGAGCAAGAACAGAAAATTACATTAAAGAACATATAATTTATCCTTTTCTCAATTAACAGATATAAAAAAGAAAAAGAAGACTTTCATATCATAATTTATTTTTTTTAAATTATATTCTTTCGATTACTTATTTTGCTTAATAGATAAATTATATTATCTTATAGCGATAATCATAAGCATAAATTTCTTTCCTTAATAAACCATTAAGCATAGTTCTCTGTTGATATTTAATAATAAAATAAATAAATATACATATAAAAAATAATAATTTTTCAATAAAATACCTTCGTGTTTGTAGTTTACACTGAATAAAACGCCGTCGACTTGCAGCAGCGGCCATTGATCTATTTCGTTCTTCTTTATTCAAATGAATTTAATATAAACTATATAGACATACATGTAAGACCTACGTTGTTGTTTATTTGTTGAAAGATCACATTAGCTAGAGGTAGTAAATGTTTATGTTGTTCTTCTTTTCTTCTTTTTCTTTTTTATCGTTTCTTTTTCTTCTTTATCGTTATTTCAACAAAAGCAAGAATTTCAAACGGCGCATAGACGTACATCAACACTTGACATCAATGGTGCGTTCATCCTTATTTCTATAACTTGTCGTTTAGTTTTGTTGCTAATAGTTTTTTTTTTTCTCCGTCTGTCTCTCTTCTAAGTGCCTATTCACAAAAAACATTTACTGATTTCTACTAGTAATACGTCATAAAAATGTTTATCATTAACTTTTACATAAAAAAGAAAAAAAAGTTAATTGAAATAGATCGATGGCAAGAAAAATATTGTATACAACAATATTAGTCAAATATAATCTTTCTTCAATCAATATTAGTAATAAAAGTGTTTATTAAAACATTGAATAAATTGACTTCTTGAGTGGATATTATATGTTTTTGTGAAAAAAAAAACCAACACATTCTATTGATATATGATAGAGTGTGAAATATGATCGATTGTAAATCATTAGTTGTTATGAATGATTAACAAGCAGTTCTTCTTCTTCTTTTTTTTATGATTCAATTCAATTAAATATCATTCAAAAAAGAAAAACAGAAAAATACAAATGATTCATGTTTCTTTTATTGATTATATACTAATAAAAAAAAAACCAAATTACGATTATTTTATATATAATTTAACGTTATTTGAAGAGAAAAAATATTTTTTTTAGTAGCTCAAATACTTTTTTTTTTCGAGTACTAAAATCTTCAAGTACACCTATTGATATTTAGTTCATGACGTTCTATTGACATCAGAGAAACGCTTAAACTTTAAAAAGTTGTTTTTCTTTATATACAAATATCTGAATAAAGATACAATATAATTTCTATGATCATGTTATGTTCTATTGTTTTTCAAGTATCAACAACAAAATCAATGAGATGCTCCAGAAATATTAAACATTAGAATCAAACTGAAATTACACTTTGAACTTGATTAAAAAAACAATCTATATATATATATATATATATATTTATGTATTTATGATGTTTCATTTATATCTTATGTATGATTGCCATATAAAGTACAAAAATAAAAAAAATTCTAAAACTTGGATAGAAAAACTTCAATTTTGATTTTGAAGTATTTTTCTGAAGTGGATGTTAATTTCTTCAGATTCAGACTTGTGGAAAATAAAAAAATGTTTTGTTATTCAATAAATATTCATAATAGAAAACAGCATGACATTCTAAGCTATTCATACAATGAAAGCACTTTAACTGTTGTTTCCACTTAAGTATAGAGTAGTTCATTTGTTCGATAATTATAAAAAAAAAAAAAAAGAAAAATTATAGTTTTTATCTTTACTAAGAAATATTCAAATACTTTATATAATGATAAAAATAGAATTACTGTTTTTTAATAATATAACGGTTACCGGCATAGATATATTTTTAACGATAAAATAGATAATATATATTTTATGGAGTATAAGATGTTCAGAATATCATCGAAGAAAGAAAAATTTCAATACTATTATTATATTTTGATCCAATAAAACTGATATTTTTATTACTGATAAGGAAATATTCATAGAAGAACTGTTGATCAAAAATAGTTCTGAAGAATTAATAAATAGTTTTAACAAACAACTGTAACCTTTTCCGAGTGATGAAAAAAATAATTTGACAGTTTTGTCAACAAACTCTTATTGTTGATAGCTGAAAATTTTTCAGAATACATTGAATAATCAGATGCTTATCTATAATATAAATATAAACCCAAACGACACTAATATAAACAATTAATTGAAAAAATGAGGTATTGCTTATTTTTGACTAAGTAAAATAAATATATCGTTGTTTTCATAATATGCAAAAGGTTACAGTTCTTTGCTAAAGTTATTTATTAATACTTCAGAACAATTTTCGATAACATTTCTTCTATGAATATTTCTTTACCAATAGCAAAAAATGTCAACCAATTGAGTGAAAATATGACGGCAGTGATAGCAAAATTTTTCTTTGTTGACCGACTTTCTGCATATGCTATATAGTACAGGTCAAAAATATAAGATCAACAGATTTTTTTTTTCTACAATAACAAACATTTAACTCAAATTTAAATTGTCGTTTGAATAGTCAATGAAGTTTCTTATCAAATCCATTTCATATCAATATTCTATAGATGAACTACGAGAAGAAAATTTCCGAAAAAACCAAACATGACAGTTTTCAGGACTTAGAAGACTATGTTAAAATTAGTTTTTAAGAGTACCATCTTAAAAAATACAAAGTCTTGAATAAAATGAAATGTTAGGGCATGAAACGAAACTTATTATAGAAAGCATTCTTTTGTTTTTTATAATGCTTATAACTTTTTAAAGAAAGACTATAGAAAATGACAGAACCCATCATTTTATTTAGGATTTCGTGTTCTTTAAGATGATACTCGTAAAAAGTAATTTTCACACAATCTTCAGAAACCTGAAAATTAGCATGTTTGTTAAACCTTCCGTTACTAGTCCATTTATGGAATTTTGGTATAAAATGCATTTGATAGAAAATTTTATTGGCTATTCACAAACTACTATTTGAATGTGAATTAAATACTTCATTTTATGTTTTTGACTAGTACTGTATATCTCTGAAAATGTAGATGAAATACAAAATTCTTTTTTTTTTCATACAACCAATATTGAACATTTGTATTAACATAAAAATATTTTTCCCATGAATAACTATGAAAGAAAATAAAAAATTGTCATTATCGTCAATTAAACATTTCCTCGAGACATTTAAATAGATCTTACCGCATGACTAACAATTTCAATTAAAACTAATTAGAATGTTTACAATCAATTAGATTTTCTTAATAATTCTATTATATTGATAAAATTAAAAAAACTTGAAACTTTTTTTCAAATTATCTTTTACAATTAAATATTATATTTCTTTTCTTGTTTTTTTGTTTTACATGAGATCTATCAACTATCTTTTTTTTTTTTAATCAATGCATATACGACTTAATATGATTATATTTTTTTTTTTTTTTTAAATTGATAATCAGCTAAACATAATCAGATGTAGGGAAAATATATATATATATATCAAAAAAAAATTAAACTGATTATTGTAATTATCGAGTAATAGAACAATCAAAATTGAATTTATATTTCTCTTTTTGATAAATAATTATATATTATAATCTAATGAATTTACCGTGTATGACGACGAAGATGAGGATGTGTATTAGGTCCATTAACAGTAAGAAAATTCGATGTTGAATGTAGAAAAATATCGGTATGATTTGTTGATGGAAGTGTTGTTCTACTTGTTGATATTGATTCACGTTCTTTAATATTCGTTCGACTAAATTTAACTAAAGATGGTGAACATGAATATAATGATGATCGATTGAATATATCAATTGGTGGTCGAGGTTCTTGTCGTGGTAAACAAAAATCACGAAGAGTAGTAGTTTTTTGTGATATTGGTAAAATAGGCGACCATGCTGGTGGAATTGAAGAAATTATACAACGATGAGAACATTTTAACATTGGTCTTTGAAATGATAATGGTGTCAGACAAAATGATGAATTTGATGAAACATCACTCCAACGTAGATTAGTAGTAGTAGGTGTCGTACATGTAGAACCAAAACTTATATTAGTTAAATCTTGTCGACGATGAGTAATCATTATAATAAATTTTTAAAATAAAAAATCAAACTTCCATCTAAAGAAAGTATCATATCGATAAGGTGAGAGTTAGTCAATATGATTGTGTCATGTTCAATCGAATAGAATTATATACGTGAGCATAATAAGAATTAAATTAATAACGACTTACAGTTCCTTTCTTTTTCCTCTCAATTTTATGTCGCTAAGCCTTGTTTCTTTTTTTTTTTTTTTTGTTGTTGTTAGATAGACTCACTCACTCAATTTATGCGTATAAAGGATAAGAACAAATGTATTGAGATATAGCAACTACTAATGATGAGAGCGTGGGAAGAAATAGAGTTGAAGTCGCGCTCTTCGACTCTATATTAAATTCATGGCAACTATAAATTTCCGTTGTGTTTTACTATGCTTGTAAAAAAAAAAAATGAAAACATGTATATATGCTTGAGGCTCTTTTTTCCCTTTTTTTTTCTCCCTTCCTTCGTATGGAGGAGAAGCATGCATTGAGTTAACTTAGAACCAAACACCTTCAGAGTTTTGCATTTTTGCTATCTGTCTGTCACTGATATACAATTGTAGACAGTAGATTATATCTAACATGAAATTTTCGAAATCGAGTGAATAATATTAAATTAATTGAAGTATAGAAATATTGAGAAAAAAAAAGAAATAAAAAAACAATGTATGATTAAATTTTATTTTATTTATGTTTACCTTTTGATATTCTTAATCACTGCTTCTGACATAATTTGTGTTATTGAAATATATTTATTAATGAGAAAAACAGCCACAAACAAAAAAAAACCATAATGTATTTTACTGGTAATGTATCTGTCGTATTTTCTTATCGAATAAACAATAGCCAATTAGTGTCAGTCAGGAATGACAGTCTTTCTTTCGTGTCACGAATAAAACCTAGTAGTCTATATTGGCTTTAAAAGGCATTTTTATAAATGCAAAACAAAAGAAATTGCAATTATGCCAGAAAAATAAATCATCATCGGAAAGTGTTCGATCGTTGATCAAATAGAAAATAAACTGGAATTTTTGTATTTTCTCTTGCTTTTTTTTTCTTTTTATAAACATTCTTTTTATCTGATTCATTTATATATATAATTATATTATATATAAAGATCTATTCTGCGTTTCTCATCTGAGCGATAAAAAATTCGTCTACATACGTCTGGAGATTTCTTTTTTTTCCTTTTAGCCTTTTTTTACTGCATACTCATTGAAAATATAAGCGAGAACAAGATAAAAGTTCACGCGGTAACTCAGATATATGTTTTAACGTGTTTTGGAAGAGATAAAAAGGATGTCTCGTCATTGATGCTTTCATAGATAATGCGCATCTCATTTAGTTAGTGTTATATTAGGATGTAGACATCGACAACGATTGAGATCAATCGAATTATTGTAAACAAATAGTAAATGCATATAAATGAAAAATTTCTTTTTGAAATTAATGGAATAATATAAGATAATAGTTTGAAGTAAAAAAAGAATTCCTTTTTTGTTTTTTAAACATGAATTCCTACAATATTTTACAATGAATAAATTTATTTATGAATTAAAAATGATAGTTCAATAGTGAATTGTTGATAATCTATAATAGAAAAGAAGCATTATAAAAGAATAATGTATGAAAATGAGATGTTTTTGTTTTTTGGAAGTTTTTCTTTTGTTATCATTGTTATTTTTAAATGATTATTACCATGTTTTGTATATGAAATATTTTTCAATAATATTATTTTCTTTTGAATATCATTTTAAATTGGAAGATTTATGATATTGATAAATATTTATATTATTATAGAAATTCAGCATTAGACGAATTTTTCTACTTAGAAAGAATATTTTTGGTTTTATTGATTATAAAAAAAAGGAAAAAATTATTTTGCATAGTAGAATTTTCTGTTTGATAAAAGCAAAATTTTCTTTTAACGAATATCTCAGAAGTTTACTTTAAACAAAAGTAAACTTCTTGATACTTTAATGAGATTATTGTAATTACTTAGTATTAAATGATTATAAACTTTAAGATCTATAGGTTTTATTATGAATGAAAATCAGTAAGAATACTTTCATATATTATTTTATCAATTGTCAAATAGTAATATGTGCCGATAACCAAAAATGTTTCATTCAAGAACATACAGTTATTTTTACATTCATTGATAGAAGACATATACAGGTTAATAATAGAGAAAAAAGACCGTTAAATGTTTTCTAACCCTTTCCAGCCGGCTACTAGAAGACAAGTAACAAAAAAGTCTTTTTATGGATTTTCGTTGTTCCTAGACCAAGGAGATAGGAAAAGTTTATTTCTCAGAACCAATAAGTGCTTCGGCATCTAATGGCTTCATATATCCATTTGGATACATCCGGCCACTAAGGGACAAAAATTTTGAAAAAGTCATTTTTTTTGTCCAGCAAAATTTGATATTTTATGGTTTTTCTTGCATCTATATTTGTAGAT